AACAGGCAAGACTACAGCATGTCCCAGGGTGTTGAGCATGGTGCGCAGGAAGCCGACTTTAAGGCGGAGAAGCGAGAAAAACTAAGGAGGGGGCTTGAGGCCCTCTTTGCTGCAGAAAACACAGGCACGCATAATGATTCGGATGAGGACAGCGCTGATGAGGGCCGCCCGTCAGTTGGCAATGAAAGACGGGGGTCAAGCGCGGTCGCAGAGACAATTCTTAATATTGACACAACAAGCGAGATTATTGAGGTCAATAACATTCGATTGTTTTCCTTGGATGAGTTGGAGCTGGACAAGTTGACTAATTGTGTTTCCCTTTCCCTTCGGAAGAATCTTATCCACGAGTTGACTCCGTTTCCAGAAGAACTTGCAGCGCGCCTTGAGGAGTTGGACCTGTTCGACAACAAGGTCCGCAAGGTGAGGAATTTTTTTCAACTGTAAGGTCCAAAGGGGACGCCTCCCTGAAGCAAAGTGTGATGGGCGCGTTTGGGCATCTCACCAAGCTAGACCTGAGCTACAACCAAATACGGCATATTTCAGGACTTGAACCTCTGGCACCGACATTGAAGGAATTGTATCTAGTGGAAAACAAAATAAAGGAAATCAAAAATTTGGATTCACTTGTAAAGCTGGAGCTACTCGAGCTAGGGGGTAATAGAATTCGTGAAATTGGACCAGGTTTAGCGAAGCTGACCAAATTGAAACAGCTTTGGCTAGGAAAGAATAAAATTGCATCTATTGGGACCTCACTCCAAACATTGGTCTCCCTGGAAATTCTCAGTCTTCAGGCCAATCGCCTGACCAGCATTGAGCCTGAGAATTTTCCATCTCCTGACGCCAATCCACGTCTTTGTGAGGTATATCTATCTGAAAATGGCTTGACATCTATCCAAAATTTGAAGCATCTTTCGATGGTAAAGATTATTGATTTTAGTTTTAATCCTATTTCTAGTATAAATGAGGAGGTTGTAAACCCTCAAACTATGCCACTACTTGCAGAGTTTTGGCTCACTGATGGAAAAATCGAAAATTGGGATGAAGTGGGGAAACTGAGCGGATTCAAGGACAACTTGAGGACAGTTTATCTCGAGCGAAACCCAATTGAGGAGGACAAAAGGTACCGCGACAAGGTGTACATGTATTTGCCTTTTCTGGAGCAGATTGATTCCTGGCCAATTGTAAACAAGGAAGATCTTGAGGCAGATCGAAAGCGGAGGGCTTAGGGGGCGTG